CTCTCTGTGTTTCTCTCTCTCTCTCTCTCTCTCTCTCTCTCTCTCTCTCTCTCTCTCTCTCTCTCTCTCTCTCTCTCTCGCTCGCTCGCTCGCTTGTGCGCGCACGAGCAAGTGCATATGAGCGTTCGCTCGCTCGCTTCCGTGCGCACGAGCAAGTGCATATGTGCGTTTTGCTCGCTCGCTTGCTCTCCTCACTGATGATGTCAAAGTAACAAGACGAGAAAGTACGGTGGAACCTGCGGTTCAACGTACTCTCAGGGCAGGAACAGTGGAAACAGGAAGGAAGGAGGGTATACAAAAAACAAAAAAAAACAAAAAACAAGAGGGAGGCTGCAGGGTGCAGGATTACAAGGGAGTCAGAAGTTGCATTCGTGGCCCTCATCGCTGCAGTGAGGGGGGACAGGCTCAAGCGGGCGGGCGGAAAGGATCAGGAGCGGGTGGGCGAAAACCATCAAGCAGGCAGAAAGCATCAAGCGGGCATGCAGCTCTTGTCTCTCAGCCCACCTGCTCCAGTGCTCCTTGCTGGTTATGGCGATGGCGATGGCGGAGGATCGTCTCCGACAACCCGTCGGCACTTCCTTCCCTTCGCGCTTGACTCTGAGTGGTCCCCTGTTCATCCTCGAAGCCGACCCTCCCGAATCAATGTTCCGGTTCACATAGATATGTATATATATGTGTATATTATATACATATATATATATACAGCCCCCCGTTTGTTGTCCTCTTCTCCCTCTCTGCCTACGGTTTACCGGGCAGAGTCAAACAGACATATCTACATCTATCTATCTATCTATCTATCTATCTATATACAGACTATTCAAATTCCCCAACTGCTACCCGCCCAGTTACATGTTCGAGGATATTGCTGGGCGGGGGAATCTCAGTTTTTTTCCCTACATCACCTCCGCCTCCCTCCCTCCCTCGCGTCTCAAGTATTATTGGGGATGAACCCCTGTTCGGGGGAAAGGTCCCACTTGCACGGATTATGAGAATCTGGCCGTTGATCTTTGCTAACTGCGGTCAATATCGCTTAATTCGTGCAAGTGGGACCTAGCCCGGGGAGAGGTGTGGCGAGCCCCTCCACGTTGGCATCCGTTCTCTGCCGAAGCAGAGGCATCGGCAGATCATGGGGCTCGCCACACTGACCAAACGCATTGTCAGATTGTGTGTTCGAATCTTCCCCAAACGGGCGCAGGCACTGGGCCTCTCTGCTATACGCACGAAACGAAGCCAACCTGGAAATTGCAAGGGAGGGCAATATACACAGAGTAGCGAGAGGATGAGATAGATGATGAAAAATATGAACAGTTTCGAAGTTCGGTTTTTTTTCTTTTTTTTTTTCCTTTTTCTTTCTTTTGTTTTTTTCCCTTTTTCTTTCTATGTTCTTCTCTCAATTTTTTTTATTTTTATTCTTTTTTAATTTTTATTCTTCCATCATTTTTTTTTATTTTTATTTTTTTGGGATAAACTGACTGGCCCTAGGTAAATTCAGGAATTCTGTTCATTTGGTTCCATTTGGATTCGAACTCAGATCTGCATTTCCACAGTTTATGAGTAGACCAACTTCTTTTTTGGGATTCGAAACTAAGCCCGTTGGTACCATCAAATTCTTTTTTTTTTTTTTTTTTTTTTTTTTTTTTTGGAGCCACCCCAGCCATTTAATCCACCGGCCTAACTCAGTTGGTAAGGCTCGCAAGTGGCATTCAGGAGGTCGTGGGTTCAATCCCCCTTGGCCTCATGTACCTTCCTGGGCATGCTTGGCGCCCGCCAATCTAGAGATAGACCACTGGATCCCCCGATTGGCATTTAGCAGAGTCTGCTGATGTTCATAGGGGAGGGGACCTGAGGGGAAGCACAGGGATTGGTCCTGTTGGCATGGTCCCTGATGCTACCGGCTGTCCCCTAGCCGGTATCGCCCACCTGCAGGTCGGGAGCAGCCCCCGCATGTTCTCTCGTGAACACGGTTCTGGTTGCTACGGGGTTCCCCGTATGCCTACAATTAGGAGTAGTGGTAGGTAGGTAGTGTGAGGTGAAATCGAGAGAAGAATATAGCTTTTTAAAAAAAGAAAAAAGAAAAAACGAAATCCATTGGCCTGAAGTACCTTCCCTTTTCGCCTTGACCTCTGCAAGTCACACGAAAACGGAGAGAAACACCGGGCGAGCTGGCCTGCCCGATCAATCAAAACAGAAAGGACAAAAAAGAGCAAAGGAGAGAAACACAACAAGACAAACAGAGCAAAACAAAAAGAAAGAAAGCAAATGCGTAACGTGTTTGCATGTTTGAGCAAGCGGCCTAGCTCAGTTTGCACGCAAGTGGCATTTAGGAGGCCGTGGGTTTAATCCCCACTCACCACCTGGGCACGCTTACTCCCAACCAACTGAGATAGCTGGCTTGCTCCCCCTACCCTTGGCCATCATGTGTGTGCGTGTGTGTATGTGACAGTGTGTGTGGGGCGGAGGGGAGGGTTGTGGACGTGGTTTGATAATCGTGGTTTGATAATGGGACCAAGGGTCTGGATGTGTGGCTGTTTTGGTTGGTTGGTGTGGCCGGGTTTCGTTGGTGTGGCCGGGTTTCGAACCAGTGATTTGTGGTTGATAGTTTTGCCTGGTTGCGGTAGGAACTCTGTGTCTTTTCAGATGTTCACAGGATACAAATAGGAGCGTCCACTGCTAATCATTATCTCCATTATTTAGGGCCTCGCCACACCACTCTCGAAACGCGAAAATTTTTCGAGAGTTGTCAGACTTTTTCGAGAGTCGGGTTTTCGAGAGTTGAGGCGCCTTCGCCACACAGCACTCTCGCAAGGGCGATGGTGTTGGACAAAAGATGAAAAACGACAGTCGTACAGCTTTGTCTTTTCCGAATGGAGTCAGGATAACGGCCAGACAGCTCTCGAAAATCGAGAGTCCCTCAAGGGTTCCGCCGAGGACGCTTGAAAACG